TCTGCCATGGAAAACGAGTTAGTTTGCTAAGGAGTTCACAGAGATGGGCAATGGCAAGAGATTTTATAAGGTGCTTATTTCAGGTCCAGCTCTGATTTGCTCCTCATGTAGGACATTACCAGAATGGCAATTTCATCCATTCAGAGAGCCACATTTTTTAATTATGCCAGAGATTATTGCCCAGAGAAGCTGTGGCTGCCCCATCCCTGAAGTGTCCAAGGCCAGGTTGGACGGGGCTTGGAGCAACCTGGGCTAGTGGAAGGTGTCCCTGCCCATGGCAGGGGTGGGACTGGATGGGCTTTGAGGTCCCTTGAAACCCAAACCACTCCGTGATTCTATGAATTATTCCATAATTTCCTGGCACGGATGTGCAGGCGGAAGAAAAAGCTACAAAATGGACACGACCTTTCATTCCAGCCACTCCCGGGTAACCAGCTCAGGGGGGTGACCTGGAGCCCCCTTCTTCTTAACCATCAATGGGATCGCTGCCTTCCACTAAGCTGGAAGCCCTTTTTGTCCCACTGCTGCCCCATTCCCATCACACACCACGATGGGAGACAGACCCAGTGCCCCCACGAGCCTGACCTGGGCACACAGAGGGGACTGGGGCAGGGCTGGGGGGCAGAGCCAGAGCCCAGCCATCAGTTATGGAACCTATGGAAGTCTGGCACACATTTACTGGCGGGACAGCACCGGGTGACAATCTGGACTCCAAATCTTCAGTTTTAAGACAGATTTTTGGAGACCTCCTGATTACAGGATGTGCTTGGGTATAATAGCAGGATATGGTGCTGCTGGAGCAGAAAATCCCAGCCCTTTAAAAACCAGCCTGCTCTGGGCAGAGGCATAAACTTATTCTCCAAATAAGGACAAAGCTTCCCAAAACCTTTTTTAGAGCATTTTTTCCCTCTGGTCCCAGCCAGCAGTAGGATGTTGTTGGCCCCGGTGGAGTTTCCTGCTCAGGGTTTGCCCCTCTTTTCCACCGTGGCTTTTTCTTTTCCAGTTTGTAGTGGCCTCTTAATCTGTTGCAGAGGGCTCTGGGACACTGGACCTCCTTTGACTACTGCCTGCATCCTGTAGTAAAAATTTGTAGAGGAAGTGGGACAAAGAACAGAATTCTGGTGTTGGGAAAAAACTTCCAACAATCGCAGGAAATATCTGCAATTTTTGCAAAAGTCTTTCAATGATGGCTAAATGGCCTCAGAAGTGTGAGTCTTCACTGTCAACATTGCTTAGATCAGCTTGAAGGACAATGACTAAAGAGAAAGGAACTCTGCAATTCATAATATATATTTGAGATGCGTGACACTGATGTCATTTTTATGTGCAGACTATGATCAACCAAAATATGAATCGAGGAGCAAATGTTTCAGGCCTTTTCTTCCAGTCTTTGCACTACTTGTTGCAAAGGACTTCTGCATTAAAAATCTCCTCCCTCTTAAAATTAGAAGAAAAGTTTATTTAAAGAGACTGTGACTGGCACCACACAAGGACCTGGCAGTGCTTGGCTCGACAGGAATCTCAGCACTACCTGGGGTGGGAAGAGAAGTGGACGGACCCTTGAGCCATTGTTCACCCACGGATCTTTAAACTCTTTTGGTTTACAGAAGATAAAAATACACTACTTGAAAATAAACACGATGGAAACAGTCATGAGTAACAGAAACTCTTCCCATGAAATGATAACATGGCGCAACTAGAGATAAAATACTCCAGGGCAGTTGAAAAATGAGTTCCCCTAATTCTTTTCCAAATTTAGCGTGGCTGGCCTAGTCAGGGCTGTTTATATGGAGCAAGGCCAACCTTCCCGCTTGGTTGGTCTGGCAACGGCACAGCCGCAGCCTGTACAACTGGGATGTGAACCCCAGCAGCTAGGATGTTTATCCCAGGAGAATGCAGAGCTTGGTCAGCTCCAGGTGAAGCCTCCACGCAACCTCCTGGTCCTGTGCAGGGCCGGGAGCTGGACTCAGTCATCCCTGTGGTTCCCTTCCAACTCGGGGTATTCTGCCATTCCATGAACCAAAATTACCAACAGGGAAGACAACAGTGGTGGAGGTGGAAGGATTTCTGTCAAATTAACGTGCTGAGGGTCCATTCCCCCTTTGTTGAGGGTTTAGATCCTGCTCCAGAACAAACCTCGCTGATGCTTCATGATGCATCTCCTGTTCTGCAGCACAAGTAACAATATGTCTTTTGAGACTAAAAACAAATGTCACTGTGCTGAGAAACAAGAAACATCTACCACTTGTCCCTCTGGAAATCAGTAATCATCCCTCGGATTGGTTTCTTCTTGCTTTCCCACTGCCTTTGACCTTCTTAGCTATGTGACACCTTGCTGGACACTTGTATGGAACTCCCAAGCCATCAGCCCCCCAGCATGGCCTCATATACACGACTTTTCAGTGTAGGTGTCACTGCTTGGACTGAAATAAACTGGAATATAGCTTTAAAAAGCAAGGGCAGTCTTTGGCAAGTGCTCCCAGGAAATCCTGCTGGTCTTTCCACTGGCTTCCAGCCTGGTGGCACGGCCACGTGCAGCCCGGACAGCTCGCCCTGCCACACTTCACTGCTCTCAACAACACCTTGCCAAGTGGCCAGGACAGAGGCAGGGCAGGAAAATTCAGGGAAAAAGGCCAGAAAACAACAATGTCTTGGCTGGCATGGAGGAGAGAGATTGCTCACCCACACCTGAGCCACTTGGAAGTTAAGGATGGAAAGAAGCGAGGACTTGCCACAAAAGTTATTATTTCACTTAAATATTGGTGTTTGGTAGTAAGATGACCCTTCCAAGAGCAGCAAGATGATCATGTCCCTTCCTCTTCATAGCACAATTGCTTGCACTCATCACTTTTTGGAAGGGGTTTCAAAAAAATACCATGACCAGTGGAGGGCTGGGGGATATATATTTTTAAACTATTTATGCCCCTTGGAAAACACATTTTGTGCCCCAGGGGACATGAACTGTAAAAAGGTAGATTATTTGTCATATTGAAGTAAATCCTAGACAAAATAAAACCTAAAAGAAATAAGCATTGTGTGTGCTGAGTGTCAGTACATCCAGCACTTCTAACAAGTGAAGTGGTGAGACAGAACAGGAACAAATCACTTTATCTT